CTTTTTTTTTCTCCATTGTTGTTGAACCCATTGCTTTTAGTCTTTTTTTATATGAAATCTTTTTAAGTTGTGGGACTAACTTCGTCGGTCTTCCTTGCACTTTCTCTAACTCATCAATATCCCGTTGTAAATACGGGTTACTGCTGGTATAGCAAACTCAAGAAGTGGTTTAATAAATTTCGTTACTTCACCGTTTTCTATCCAAGTATGTAAATTTACATCCAAGTATGTAAATGCACGTTTAATTAGACCCAACCTTCTTTGCACTTTTGCCGTCGCTGAAGTCACTTAGAAAACGATTGTCTATAAAATGTGATTTATCTCAACTGAAACTTAACTACCATTTACGTTAAAACACAAAAAAGTGTATATAGCAATATTATTTATAATGAATTAAATCATAAGAAGGTAATACTACGAATTGCTGCAAAAAGCTAAAGCTAAATCGCGGTGATGAACTCTCGAAAGTTGACGCGCAATAAATTTAATAATTGGACGGAAAGTTTAAAAGCGGGAGACTCTCGCAACAATCAAATAATATGTTATGCCTAAATAATAAAAGCTTTTGTAACGATCCAGACAAAGTTACGAATCAATAATATTAAAATAATGAAGTAGTATTTGTTAAAAATACAAGTTTATTTTTTATTTTCTAATTATTTATTAAAACTTTCAGAGTTTAAAAATGTTTCGATGTATGTTATATATAGTTGTGACCTCTATTATATTTTACGCTTTATATTTTAGCGTAAAAAACAGACATAAACATAAAAAAACAAAAATAATTTTTAACCGGGAATATGTTAATAGTTACTTGTAAATATCCAGGATGGTGCCTATTGTATACTAATGCTTTTTTGAATGTTTATAAATTTATTTGCATTAAAGACATATAAATTATTTTTTTTATAAATATTTATTTAACTTATTTATTTAACTTACTTATTTAACTTATTTTGAAGTAGCATATGAAAAGGTATGAATTAACATGCATATCTCAGGTGAAAGCTAAAGGAGTGCTGAATATTGAGAAATGATTCTTTAAATTTTAAGTAAATGTTAATAAAAGTTTGAAATAATTCTAAAACGAAAATTATATCAAAGTTCTAACATAATCTAGAAAATAAAAATAAAGACAATCAATGAAATTAAAAGCTGAATTTTATATTGAGTTTTATGTTTGATTCTCATTTCTTGAATGTATTGTTGAAAAGTATAATGATTAGTTATATATATATATATATATATATATATATATATATATATATATATATATATATATATATATATATATATATATATATATATATATATATATATATATATATATATATATATATATATATATATTATTATTATTATTATTATAATATATATATATATATATATGTATAATAATAATAATAATAATAATAATAATAATAATAATAATAATAATAATAATAATAATAATAAAACATAATAATAATAATAATAATAATAATAATAATAATAATAATAAAACAATGATGATATTAAACAAAGTTTAAATTTATAAGAACAAAAGTACAATGTCTTTAAAAGTAATAATTACTATAAAGAAAATCTGTTATGGTATAAAAAAGAATCTTTTTTTTTTTATTATATATTTTTTTCTTTTTCTGAAAAAATTTAATCTTTATATTATTTTATATATTTTGTTATATTATGTTATTTCTATATATGTTTGTTACTTTGACACTATATAAGTAATTAATTTACTTTTTTTTAAGTTATATATTGAATAGGTTTTCTTGTTTCATTTTTTTTTTTTTTTTTTTAGAAAAAATAAAAGAGAAAAGTAGTATAATTTTTTGTTGCAATCTTAATCTACCTTTATTACATATATTGTTACATATTACATTTCCAAACACTAACTTGTCAGCTGCTGTACATAAAATTTTCCCAACGCTAGATAGTTACTGAGAGAAACCTGATTTTGACATTATTTATTCATAACATTTTTTATATTAACTTATTTGAACTAACTTGTTTGTTTAAAAAAACTTGTTTTTACACATTGGTTAATAGCTATTAATTAAAATAATATATAAAAAATGTATGTTTATTACCTTTAATTTTTTAAATATACTTTTTTAGCTGTAATGTAAAAGTAAAAATGTTCACACCCATATGTAGTGCTAATTAGTTATGAGTATGATAAACAGTTTTGATATTATTTGTCATATCTGTCAAGAACCAATAGTAGAAGTTAATCAATGTTTCTACTTTTCACCCAAGCGAAATCAATATATTTGTCATAAACACTGTTTTAAATGCGCTTCATGTAAGCAAATATTGTTTGGGAAGGTTTACTTTTTATCACCTAGAAAAAAATTTTATTGCCATTTGCATCATGATAATGAATCACCAAATGTGCACGAGAATTTTTTTCGAGAACTTGGAATATTTAAGCAGGTAGCATTAATGAAAATAGAGGGGCATGGTAGGGGAAAAGAAATTTCTTTTACATCACAAGCTAACAATGATTTTTTAAAGTGTCAATGCACTGGTGGGGAGCTGTTACTTATCAATGATGGATACTGGATCGAATGTGTGTTAGAAGAATGCCCATTTTATTGTTTTTATAGAACTTATAACAGGACTAATTTTGAAATACCTTATTGGAAGTTAAGTACAAATCACAGTGATGGGTATTTTCAAATTGATTTTTTTGAAGAAGAACTTTTTGAACTTTGTTTTGCTGATGATGATCATACTAACTATTATTGTGTTGATGAAAGTATTGGTCCTATTGTTTTAAGCATGAAACATGGATTTATATCAGGGAAGAGTTGCTATAGGTACAGTTTTTAATTGTTTAATAATTAAACTTAAAATTTTAAAATATTATTAATCATTTATTAAATCAATCATTTTATATAATTGTACATATGTAGAAAAACTGTTAAATTAAAAAAACTGGAATATATATACATATATATATATATATATATATATATATATATATATATATATATATATATATATATATATATATATATATATATATATATATGTATATATATATATATATATATATATATATATATATATATATATATATATATATATATATCTTATAGCCTATATATATACTATCTTATAGCCTGGCAGGCAGTCTATCATTTAAAAATAAAAAAAACTATTCAAGTTTTTAAACTTTTTTGGTCTGGTTTATTAATGCGCTCTTTAAAACTTCATTTTATGGAAAAAACTTTCTGATCACCATGCAAGAATATATATGTATATATATATATATATATATATATATATATATATATATATATATATATATATATATATATATATATATATATACATATACATATATATATATATATATATATATATATATATATATATATATATATATATATATATATATATATATATATATATATATATGTATATATATTTTTTATTAAGATTTAGTTACTTTTAAACTTCAATGTTTTTAGTGTTTAAAAAAATCCATAGTAAATGTAACTTTTTTATTAAATATAATTTAATAAATAAGTTACATTTACTATAGATTTACTAAAATAAAATATATACTTTTAAAATATAATATGTCATTTAAATGAATAACATTTACCGTAATTTTCTCTTTAATTATCTTTAATTTAACCTGTAATAAAAGTTAAATGAAGAGGTTTGCTAATAATTAAATCAAAATTTTAAAATTATAATTAGATTAAATCACAAAATAAGAGTAAATATGTTTATGAAATGTTTATTAAATTATGTTTTTTATACAAATAATGTAAATATTGATTAAAAACTGCTTAAAATATTCTAACATTTAATTACTAATTATTAATAAAAATAACTACTAATATTAAATTTACTAAAATATAGTTAATAAATGTTTAAAATTCTTAAGTAAAATAGTTTTCTTATAACAACTAAAAGAATATGGTTAAGTCTTATTATCACAACTTGGTTAAGTCTTCTTATCATGGTTAAGTCTTCTTATCACAACTAAAAGAACTTGGTTAAGTCTTCTTAACATGGTCAAGTCTTCTTATCACAACTAAAAGAACATGGTTAAGGTCAGGTCAGGTTTATCCTGCTACTGGTAACATGTAACCCAGTACAATCTGCTTCATATCCTGCTGCCTTGTAGGATATGCCTTTTTAGGCAAAGGCTAGGAGATGCAAACTTCGACATAAAATATCCCCTGCCTTGTGGCTCTCGGTTGAGTAAAGGCTAGAGATGGTGTCTCATTAAAAATACTCATCTTGGGCAGATGTTAAATGCATCCGGCTGCTGTCTTGTAGAAGGCCTCCTAGGCAAAGACTTAAGAGGTAAATCTGTTGACCAGCCTTGCACCCCTCCTCCACCCCTGCTTAGGCTGGCGCAGATGTATTTTTAATACATTGTTTCCAGTTTAGGATGATGAACGCTGGATCTTCTTGACTCGATGCATGGGTTTTGCTTGTATCTCTGTTTTTATGACTAGGCAACTCATTCTATTATCTCCAAATGAGGGTACAGCTCTAAAACTCAGTTTTATGGTTCTGAGGCCGGCTGGTAGTCAGGTTTCCCGAACTCTGTGGTAGCTCTCAGAGAGGCTAATTTTATCAACAGCTGAAAAATATCAGAGAACTAACAGTGCCATATTGCGCATGGATGGTGTCCCTGTTTATACTTTTGGTGTGCATTGCCAAGGCCACATTTGAGCCCTTTGTTACGGCTTAGGGTTTATTAGTGGAAATGAGGCAATTGCTTGGGCTATAAAACAGTGTACTGAGTACTATCTATGTTTCGAGTCAAGTTCTTTAACAAATTTTAAAATGAATAAAGTAATAAAAACTATAAAACACAAAAAACCACAGTCATCACCAAGTTCACTAAACCTATCATTCACCAATATTTGTGGTCTTCGAAGTAACTTTTCTTTTGTTGAGTCTTATCTCTTGCAAAGTTCACCAGACCTACTTGCTCTTTGTGAGACTAATTTGAGTTCAGCTGTCTTATCTTGTGATCTTAGTATTGATGGTTATCTTCCTTTAATTCGTAAAGACTCCAATAGTCACATGCTTGGCCTAGGCATTTACATTTGTAAGAATATACCCATTTGTCGGGAAACTAGGTTTGAATCCACAGACTACTCTTTTATGTGCTTTCGTTTAGCACCACTTCACTCTATCACCTTTCTCTTTGTTCTATATCGCTCTCCTTCATTTCAAGACTGCACTCTTCTTGATGTTATTTCTGATTATATTGACCAAGTCCTCATTCTTTATCCATCAGCCAATATTGTTGTTGTCCGTGACTTAAATGTTCATCACACTGAATGGCTTGGCTCTAATGTCAGAGACTCCGCAGGCATTAAGGCCCACAACTTTTGCCTTTCTCAATCCCTAACTCAAATAGTCAACTTTCTAACTCGCTTTTCTATTTTTAAAAATTCTGGAGAGCGATCCGATTCGTCTAACTACAGTCCCATTAGTCTTTTTCCTATCATAAGCAAGGTTTTTGTATCTTTAATTAATAAAAACTTAATCTCTCATCTCAAATTTCATAACCTACTTTCTGATCATCAATATGGATTTCGATCTTCTCGTTTTACGGCTGATTTGCTAACAGTAATAACCGATAGGTTTTTTATTGCGCATTAGATAAAGGTGAAGAGGTTAAGGCCATCGCTCTTGACATTTCTAAAGCGTTTGATAAAGTTTGGCATGCTGGTCTTCTCCATAAGCTTAATTCTTATGGTGTATCTGGAAACATCTTTAAGATTATTGAATCCTTCCTTTCCAATCGTAGTATTAAAGTTGTCCTTGATGAACAGCACTCTTCTTTTTATTCTGTAACCTCAGGGGTTCCCCAAGGTTCAATCCTTGTCCCTATACTCTTTTTAATTTACATTAACGATCTTCCAGATATTCTCACATCTAAGTTAACATTGTTTGGTGATGATACTACCATTTATTCTTGTCACTATAAGAAGCCAACTCCCTCTGATTGCTTGCAGGGGGCATCAGAGCTTGAAAAGAATATCACTTCTGCTACAGCATGGGGCTCACAGTGGCTGGTGAACTTTAATTCAGATAAAACTTTTCTTCAGCCAATCGTTATTGCAATAATTTAGATCTTCCTATATTTATGAACGGTAATGTACTCGATGAGCCTCCTACCCTTCATCTTCTAGCATTAACTCTTACTTCTGATCATTCTTGGAAACCTTATATCAAATCCTTTGCAAAATTAGCATCTGCTAAAGTCGCTTCTCTTTATCGAGCTCGCCACTTTCTTACTCTGGATTCTATTCTCTATCTCTATAAATCTCAAATCCAGCCTTGTATGGAATACTGTTGCCATATCTGGGGCGGATCTTCTAATGATGCCCTTTTTCTTGTAGACAAGGTGCAAAAACACATTGTAAACATAGTTGGACCTGCTCTTGCAGCCAACCTTCAACCTCTGTCACATCGTCGTAATGTTGCTTCTCTTTCTCTTTTCTACAACTACTATAATGGGCACTGCTCTAAAGAGCTAGCGTCTCTTGTGCCATCTACTAAAATTCATTCTCGTGTTACTTGTCATTCAATTAAGTCTCATCGTTTTTCTGTTACTGTTCCTAAGTGCTCCAAAAACTCTTATTCGTCTAGTTTTTTTCCTTGAACATCAGTTCTTTGGAATTCGCTTCGTTCATCTTGCTTTCCTGATTTATATAATTTGCAATCTTTTAATTCGCCTGTCACTTTTTATCTTGCTCTATAATCTTCATCTTTTCTCTTCCAGTAACTTCCAACACTAATTAGTGGTTGCTTGCAGCCTTGTTGGAAGCGAAGATGTTAAAAAAAAATAAATAAATAAATTTTTGTTTTTAAAGAAATGACTTTAAATTACCTTCTTATTTTCGGATAATTCTCAACAAGATAAACACAAATGATTAAAATGATGATATGAAAAGTGATGAATTAAAATCTCCCCCCTCCCCCCTAACAATGCCAGAAAAAAGTTTGGCATTCCCTAATAAACTCTGGGTTCGTCTTTTTATTTATTTTTTAGTTCTTTGGTTACTTTACTATTTTATTCTTATTCTACCTATTTATTATTTAATTTTTTTAAATGATTCAAACTGGGTTGTAGCAATGACACACATGACACTTTAAATGATGCTAGTGGAGTGGATAGTATATATTGTCAAAAGACCATTTGAATTTTTTATTTTTAAAGAAATTTCTTTTTACTTTTTTAATTGTTTCATTCTTTCAAAAGATTCATTTTTGAAAACATAGGGCGGTATATATATCAATGTAAAAATTTTGACATATGGATTAATAAGCCAATTATTTGCACTAGTTTTACAACAGTTTCAGAAAGTTAATGAAGCGATTAATTATCTAATTTTTAAAAGTTGTTTAGCATATAATTAAATTATATATAATATATCAGGGTGTTACCCAGGAAAAAATTTTATACAGCATTTTTGCAATATTGGGAATTTAGGTGTGGCTAAAAAAAAAAAAAAAAAGGTCCTTACATTCTGCAATGAAATTTTAATCAAAATAATCTTTCTATTTTTGCTGGGAGATTTACAGCAGGGTTATTTTTTATTTATATATGTTTAATTTTAATTAATCAACTTGTTTCAATATGAGCAATCTTCTAAAGTTTTTATTTAAATCGCTTCTTTTCTTTATTTTTGATATACTGTAGTCGTTTTTCAAAATGCCTTAATTACGTATTTCGAGAAAAGTGCAATTAAAAATTTTTTTTTTTTACTATGATCTTATAAACCTTTGGAAATTTTAAACCAATTGGGAATACCGCATTATACGCAGCACC